GGCAAATGTGAGAAATTAATTTCTTTTTGATTGTTTGACGACGATTCAGTTTCAGTTCTTCACCATTCAACTCGAAACCGAATTGCGTGACTGCGACTGTGACTGCAACTGTGACTGCAACTGCGACTGCAACTGCGACTGCAACTGCGACTGCAACTGCGACTGCAACTGCGACTGCAACTGTGATTCAGTTCAGTTCCAGCACAGCTTAGGTCAGAATCGATTCATTCTTTCTTGGCAGCTGCGTATACATATGGACATCGATGTCGATCTGATCGCACGATGGACTCTACCGATACTCAACGTGTGCAAAATTGTTGGGGTTCTTCGTTTGGTATTGGCTTGGTTTTGGTTTTGGTTTAGGTTTAGTTTGAGGTACTTGTTGGTTGGCTGGTATTGGTATTGGTATTGGTTTGGTTTGGGTTGGCTGGTTTGTTTATTGTAGTTTGGTTTGTTCTTGTTTTACTCATTACCATAGTGTGCGGTGTTGTGTGGCAATTTAAATTAGAGGGAGGAATAGTAGGAGGAGCATTTGAGTTCAGAGACGTAGGTGGAGTGTTTGTTGTTGTGTCTGTTTGTGTGTGTGTGTCTGGGTGCTTGTGTATGTTTCCGTGTTTGTGTGTGTGTGTGGGTGCATTTCTGTAAAACACCGTCACCATAAGAAGTTCATATCATCTCTGTATCGCGTTTATTGTACGTGTGTTGTGTTGTTCTGGTTCTTTGGCTTCCCTTACCTCGTGTCTTTGTGTGTGTGTTTGTGTTTGTGAGTGTGAGTTGTGTGTGTAGGGAGTTCGGGGTTGTGTGTGGTTGTGTCACTTAAAAAGCACTAGAATTAAACCCCTTGCCAAATCACCTTTGTCTCCACCATCATCATCTCTCTCCGGGATCTTAGTGGCATTTTCTGGTTTCGGTTTAAATTTTGACTTATTTTTGCTTGGAATTTCGTTAAATGTACATTGTGCTTAAATTATAATTTTTGTTTTGGTTTCGTTTTGGTATTCTTTGGGCTGTGGGCGGATTGGCGCTGTTATTTTGATATTTTATATGTCAATCGATTTACAAATTTACATCGTTTCCAAATCCCAACCAATCCATCCACAGCTTTTAATTCGGTTGTGTGCTTAGGTGCTAACTTAAATAGATTAGTAATGGATACATTTTTCGATTATCGATTTTCAATTTTTATATTGCCTTGGTCACCAATTGTGGATCTTAAAATTAGTGAATTTTGAATACTTCGCACGGAAGTTAAAATAATTTATTCTAGGTTTGCTAAGCGTAAGATATAACTCTGAATTCTCCTTTTCTCACAGTGTTTGTGTGTGTGTTTGTGTTCTTTGGTTTTAAAAATAGGAGCAACAAATATATATATGTATATATAGAGCATAATTTAAAGCGGTTTCTCAATCAAATTTATATACTTGAAGCCTTGAGTGGTTGCTTGAGTTGGTAATCTCAGTTTGTGTTCTTTTGTGCTGGTGGTGGTGTGGGTGGTTGGGTGGTTGGGTTGATTTTTGATTTGGGAGAAGGGAGGTGGGAGAAAGGAGGGGCGTTGGGTGTTATTGTTTCATGTATCGAGTTGTCTGCTTTGGTCGCCTCTGTGGGCAGTGGTGGTATTTTTGATTTTGGTTCCATTGGGGGTTTAGTAAAGCGGATTTATATACGTATACAGGGGGGTTAGATCGATCAATTCTTAACAATATGTATGTATATATTTTGACTCAGATATATACGTGTGTGGGTAGGTAGATATAAATATATATAGATCTCACGATTATTGGGGAATTTTAAATTTTGGTCGGTTAGTACAATTGGAAAGTAAATAAAGATTAGCGTTAGTCGATCAACTTCGGTGTTAGTGCCCTCTGGTGATCTTTTTGTTAGCTGTGTTTTTGAGCGCATAATATAGTTCATGTATGTGTGTGGGTATATGTGTGCTTGTGTGTGGGCGGGCATGTATGTGTGTGTGTGAGTGGGTGGTGGGTGAGTGTGTAGTGTGTGCTTTTCGACTACTCAAAAAGGCGAAGGGCTTGCCCCTTCTATCAAGATTACCTCACGGGGCCCCCTTGTGAGTGTGAGAGTCCTGTGTGTGCGTGTGTGTGTGTGTGTGTGTGCGTGCTGTGAGTAAGCGTGGCCAAGTAATCAAGTGAACCTGCAGTGTGGCCGTATTGTGTTTCGAGTGTGGAACGAGAGGCGCGACACGGATCGGACCGGAATAAAACGAGACGAGACGCGCCTGGTGTGACTGTACCTTGCTGTGAACTGTGTACGCATGAGTGAACAATTGCCAATATGTGCTGAGTTAGGGCTGATCCGTCCACCCCTCGGGACTCAGATCAGGGATCAAGGGGCAGAGGTTCTAGGCTTTCAAAGGACTTCTGTGAACCTGGTTATGTACCGCCTTCTGTATTCGTAGCGGCGAGTTTGGGTTTGAGTGTGTGATTGTGGGTTACTTGTTGGGTTTGGTTTTTGTTTTTGGTTTTGAGGGGGTTTGGTCGGGCTTCGTGAACAGATGTGTGCTCAAAGCAAAGTGTGGCCGAATTCGAGGGGAGACAGACTAGAGAGACAGACCCAGGGGCAATGGGGCAATGGGGGTGTCTATTTCAGGGGTTAACTGGGTGGTAAACTAAACGAAAACCGCTTTTCGCTCCATCACAGGCTGCGGGGGCATCGACAGTTGTTAACAAAAGACACATTGAAAATTAATGTGAAAATTCGTTCGAATGCAATTGTTGTAAATAAAGCTTTTCTTTTGACTTTGCTAATGGGATCGGGTCGATGGGTGGTTAATTTGGTTCGGGTGGGGTTTACATAGTTTTAGACACAAGCACGACGACGTACAAATAAAGGAAAGAGTTCAATATTCAATATATATATATATTATGTAGGTATGTATATATTCGATCTTCAAATGCGTTGCGTTTTACATGGAAACTAAAAGTTCACACCAATAAAATTTCGATTGCAAAATGTACTCGGTGTTTGCTTCTCTGTGGGGCTTTTCCCGTGTCATGTCTAGTGTTTTATTTATTTTTAGCCATATTCTTGAAACTGGGAATAACGGAAATAAAACGGAACGAAAGGAACGAATGGAAAATAGACACATTACTGAATCGAGAAGGCTACCAAAATCATAGCTAAGTTAATTTCTAATTCCTGACCCATTCTGTTTTGGGTTACAAAGAACAAAAAAGTGGCGGCGGTTTGGCCGGGGAATGTAAACCGGATCCAAACGAAACTTACTAGTATTTCTAACTTTGGGACGCTTTTTGAAACATCTATGCGTGTGTTTATAATATGGCGTGTATTGGCATGTGTGTGTGTGTGTTGCATTGTGTGGGTGGGTGCGTGTTGCTGTTGTGTAGTACATTTTGCTGGTGTTTGATCAGTTTACTTGGGTTTTTCATAAGGAACACGAACAAATGAAACGTAACGAAACGAAACGAAAAGGAACAAAACGAAACTGATTAAATGCAGAGCACAAACGGAACACAAATGGAATGGTAAGCGGATTGCGCAGTCGAAACAACAGCGGTTAATAAACATAAAAGTCACAGTGTGTCGTGTAGCATTCGGTTTGTAATCGTAGTTAGTTTGATTGGGGGGGATTGGGGTCTGCTCAGCCGTTCTGCCGCTTTGCCACTTTGCCGCTCTGCCGCCATGTGGGGCACTTGCCACGGGCTCGAATTGTTGCGGCCTGACCGCAGCACACACACCGCAACTGGTGTGGCGCGAAACTTGTGATAGAATTTTGCTAAACACTCTGCGGCTGGCAGATGAGCTGGAAAGCAGCGAGTTAATTAATTTTGCGGAGTTCATCAAGCAAACTGGCGTAGCGGCGATTGGGCTTGAATCGGGCATGTTGATGTTTGAGTGTTTGCCAAAGTTTCGCGACTGGCGTTTATTTAGCAATTACCCTGCTTTGCTATTACACATACTTCATTATTCATTCTTCATTATTCATTATGCGGTATTCATTGTGCAGTGTTCATTATGCGTCAAGCCATCTTGAGGCCAGCATCGTTTAGTACGCAACATGGATGACATGGAAAACCGTCTAAGTGCATGTGCAGGTACTTTTCATTTGGTAGGGGGGTCGGGTGAATCTCCTGGGTGGGCGGTACTTGCTGGGTACTTTATGGTGTCTGGCCCGGGGGGAGGGGGGGTTGGGGGATTCTTCAGTTCTGGCATGTGCGTGTGTGAGGGTGTGAGTGTGACCGAAACAAATGAAAACATTTACCATCGAAACAATCAAACAAGAAAGAAATTTATACACTTGATACGCTACGACGGGAACTCGACTTGGAATCGCAACGAACCGGAGGATTGGTTTTTGTTGGTGGGGGGAGGTGGATCGGTTTGATTGGGTCTGCCGTTGGTTCCAAGGATCAAGTTCGGGTTCGTTCATTTACTTTGCGGGTGCGGATTCGAGTTGAGTCCAACGGGAAATAAATCGAAAGTTAAATCAAAAGTCCTGCTCCTGATCGACACGCATACATATGCGACATGTATGCATGCACTATGTGTGTGTCCTCAAGTCAGTCGAAACGCAAAAATCGAAAGAAACAAAAGAACAAAAGAACAAAAAGATAAAACGGAAACGACCATACTGACAATTACAACGAAACGAAAAAGATTCAAAATTCAACAAAATTACGGGCAATCAAATGATCTCAGCATTTTTTTTTTTTTTGCTTTGTTTTTTGTATTAGTAATTTCGACTTAGATTCTGGCTCTGGTTTGGATTTAGTTTTGGTATGGTTTTTGGTTTCTTTTCGATTTGTATTCGTATTCTCTTTACTTTTAGTTTTACGTTTGCTTTTAGCCTTTCATTTCTTTTGGTATCTGGTATTCTGGTATCTGACTTGGATAGACTCTTTGGTATATTATTTTGGTACTTGCATTTGCATTTGCATTTGATGTAAAAAATGTAATAATGAGCTTTTGAGCGCAAATAGAGCGGAACAATAGAGTACGGATAGAGAAATGTTCTGACTCACCTTGAGGGGACACGGAGAGGTCAGCGGACTGCTGCAACTGTGTGTTGAGACCTGGTGTTGGCCCAAACCCGCCAGGTCACAAGAGGGTGAGAGGCAATAGGCAATAGGCAATACGCAATAGGCAATAGGCAAAGAGGAAGAGAGTAGAAGAGCAAAAGAGTAAGCGTTAGTTAGTCGGCTAGCTGGACCAGCGAGCACGTTGCTCATACGCACCTAGCAACGCTGAGGGATCGATATTGGAGAAGTTGAAGGCGGCTGCATGGAACATCTTGTTCTCCGCCGGCGACATTATGAACTGTGGGGCGGCGTGATGGGAGGCGAGTCCGTCGCCGATCTCCTCGTCGTTGCCGGAGCTGCAATGGGACAGGGATAGGTTTAGGTTTGGCAGATAGCAGAGGGTTAGCAAGGGTTGGCTCCTACCTCAGGGATCCCTTGCCGCCGTCGCCACTGCTGGAGCGGTTGGCATCGTGCTCGCCGGTGGAGTCGTTGCTGTGCTCATCGTTCACATTGGCATTGTTGTTCGAGCAGACCAGCTCCATGGGCTCCGACTTGACGTCATCGGCGCCCGCTCGAGCCAGCGGCGATGGTGTGAGGCTGCCCAACTTGTCGCTGATGGAGATTCCGTTGCCATTGCTGGCGCCGTTGCCATTGCCGTTGCCGTTGCCGTTGCCAGAGTTGCCGTTGCCGTTGCCTGTGGGTCCGTTGCCTGCGGGGAAATGAATGCGATTAGTGCCCGTGGCCACCAATGGCGATCGGTAGTCCAGCTCCCGCTGGGACACACTCACGCTTCTCCTCCTTTAGTGGCGGCGTATTGTTGTTGTTGTGGTGCTTGATCGTGCTGAAGTCGGCCGGAGTCTGCTGGGGCGAGGCGCTGCGCGCGTGGAGCGGCGGCAAGTCGGGGCTGTTGTTGTTGCTGCCACTGCCAACGGCGCCCGATAGCGGCAGACCGTTGTCCGAGCCGCGCAGCCGCTTATGGGCATGGGAGGACTCCTCGGCGGCGGCGGCGGCGCTGCTGCGGTGCATCATGGCCATGCGCTTCAGCAGCTGGTTGTTGATGTGCGAGGGCAGCGACGGCACCGCCGTCGGCGGCGGCGAGCCCGCTCCCTGGCGACTGAACAGGGTGGAGGAGCCGCCGTCGTCGTGCAGCAAGCCGTGGTGCGGATGTGGTTGCGAGTGGGTGTGCGTGTTGAGCGGCGTGCGGCCGCCGGAATTGGCCAGGTTCTGTATCTGGGCCAGATGCTGTGGATGGGTGGCGGTTTGCAATGAGTTTGCCATTGAGAGGGGCTCGTCCTGCGGCGCCTGGTGGCCTATACTCACGCTGTGTGTGTCCTCTGCCTGCTGCTGCGTGAGTCCCGAGACGCGCAGCACTTCGGCGGTCTTGAGGAAGGACTGCAGGGACTTCTGGTGCACGTTGACCTCGCCGTGGTAGATGAACTCCACCAGGGCGTGCAGGTCCATGAAATTGACATCCTGCAGCAGTATGACCGGGTGTTTGCAGGGTGTGCTCTGTAATTTGAGTGGTTTTAGTCAGATTTGTATGCTGCACGTATGTATGTAAGTTGGCTGGCCGGTCAGGCGGTTGGGTGAGTCAGCCCAGTGCCCCTGCTCCGGCCCCACTGTTCCTGTCCCTGTCCCTGTCCCTGGCCCTGGCCCCCACCCCGGATCCCTCGATAAGCCTGTTTGCCCCGGCAATTATCAGGGTTCTCTGGCCCAGACAACCTTCAATTGTCGCTGAAATGTCAACAGGCCAGCGCGCGATTTGAAGTTTGCAGCTGCAGTTTATTTCTTCTGGCATGTGTGGTTTCCTATCCCGTTCCCATTCGATCCCAGCCCATCCGATTCCCCTCAATCCTACTGTGTGCACATTCAGGGCCAGTGCATTCCAGTTTGCGCTGCGTGTGTGTACACTGTACTGCGAATTTCACTTATCAAGTGGAACTCCAACAAAGGGAGCTCTGCTGCTCCTCTGCCGTTTCGGTTTCAGTTTCAGTTTCTGTTTTTTGCTGCTGCTGCTGCTGCTGCTGCTGCCTGGCTAGAAATTGGGTCAAGTCTCGCCTCGTCTTTTGTTGCTCTGCCCTGAAAGACCCTGCGCTCCGTGTGTGTTTGTCTTATTTACTGGCTTTTGCAATTTATGTGCCCTCGCACACACGCACTGGATATTTGCGATTGAGTTAGCGCTAAAAGATTGCCAGTGAGAGTGCGATTGTGCCTATATGCACTTACTTACATATGTGCATTGCACACATTCGTATGTACATGTGTGTGAGCGATTGCGAAATTGAGGTCAATTTGACGAAAGAAAGACAAATGCGTCAGGAGACGCAGATCGAATGATCTCTCTACAGTAGCTCGTCATCTGGTGAGCTGGGAACTGGTGAACTGGTGGGCACAGCACATCATGGAAATGCTAATGGGGGGCGGGGGCGTGGCCCGGTACCAGGTCATTACACAAAAGCCAGAAATGCTTTTAGCAATTGCCCCCAGCTCAGGAGCAGCCATTAAGTCACCTCTAGCCCCTGGCATCTCCGAGTCTGAAAGCGAATCCGTATCTGAATCTGTATCCGTATCTGTATCTGAGTCCCCCGAGCCCCCAATTTGTCGCTGGCTTTCGTTGTTTGGCAGTTTTTACACCTAATTAAAATAATGCGCTGCAGTTAATTAAATATTTATGCATAGGCGCAAAGTCGCGCACAATTGCGACGCCAAGTGCTGGACGGGATTGTTGGGCTTGGGTTGGGTTGGGTTGGATTGGGGTTGGGTTGGGTTGGGTATTTCTGGGCGGGAGCCAAGTGTCCAGTTGTTCGGCTGGCCGGTCGAGTCCAGTCCAGTTCTCCTCGCCAGTTGCGACTACTGTCCACCGTTGTCTCTGTCCTTTGTTCACCACCTACTGCCCACTTGTATGTATTTCAAATTGAATTTACAAAGTTTTGTGCCAGGGCCCTTTGTTGTTGCAGTTGTTGATGCAGTTGCCTTTGCCGTTTTTTGCGCTGCCTGCCAGCCAGCAAAGTTTTGTATACTAATTTCTTGGGTACATAATTCCACAGCAACAAATGGGAATGCACAAAAAGAGCTCGAGAAAAATTCAGTCGGCTCGTTCGCTTTTGTTGGCGTTGCTGTTTTTTGTCCCGCTGCATTTAGTTGGCCTTTTTAACAAATTAAATGCCGACTTTTTCTGCTCGCGCAATTTCTTGTTTGGGGCGTACGGAGTTGGGGGAAGAAACTTTCCAGTTTGCCAGGGACTTCTTGACATGTTCTTGTTTCGCGTTCGGTTCGCGTCCCCAGTTGCCATAGCCATTGCGTAATCAGCGCTGGATTGGAGCCCCTGCCCGCCGCCCTCCATCCTTCCACACAAAAAACTCTCTCCTAATTGCAGTTCTTCCCAAAAACCAAACAGAACAGACAAACTGCACTCTTTTTGTTTGTCGGCCTCGCGCATAATTTGGAACAAAAACGGAAAATAATAACGGAAAGCCCAGCAAGTTTTCTATCATGTTAACAAATCATGTCGAAAGAGACAAGAGTTGCAGAAACGGAAACAGAAACGGTGGACGGGGGTCGGTGGTAGGTGGACCTGGGGGTGGGCACTTTGTAATTTATATAATTTCTGCTGCAGGACTGCTCCTCCTGCCCTCCAGCGCTCCTCAGCTCCTCAGCTCCTCCGCTCCTGCGCTCCAATGACAGCTCGAACAATGCAAATGGCAAACGTCGAGGCTGTCCCGTCCCGCTCCGCGTCTCGTCACCGTCCCTCTCTAACTAGTCTAACTAGCCAGCCCGTCCCTGTCGCTCAAAACCGCAATTGCGTGCAAATATTTTCAATGCAGAATGCAGGCAGCGCCAAAGTTTTGGCGGGCAAACGTAAATGTTGGGGCAACAACAGCGAATCACATAATTTTAATGTCATAATAAAAATAATGAACCAAACTGCGGCCTTTTGGGGCGGGCTGCATTAGTTGCCAGTTTACTTTGACTTCGGGCCGGGCCAACTTCAAGGATTAGCCGGCTTGGGAAATGAAATGGGCTGTGCGGTCTCATTTGAGCCTGCTCTAGTTCCGACTTGTGAGTTCCAAGTTCCAAGTTCCAAGTTGCAAGTTGCAAGAAGCAAGTGCCTAGTTGCAGGTTGCGAGTTTCCGCAGATCCGCGTGCGTTGCATGATCAGGCCACACAAATCAATCATACGTAGCGTTGTCCCAGCGCAAAGTACCCGCCTCGACTCATTTTCACTGCAACTCTCTGCCGTCTTGCGCCGGCATTTATAACGTGTTTTGACTGTACGGCGTACACACAACTTCCTTCCTGCCGTCTGCTTCCCCTTCCCCCCCGACAATTGCCGTGTTTTTGTGTCTATCGCGACTGCCGCCGCCTTTCTTGTCATTTTTCTTACTGCGGCCAACTAAATAAATTAAAACGCTAGCAAAACACCAGCCAGCTGCAGCTAAACGTGCTCCCGGCCACGCCACTTTTGGCCAAAACACACAACCAAGCTAACTGGTACTGCCGCTACATTGGCAGCCCAAACTGATCGGATTCGGGTCCCACCAACTATCTCGCATGTGTGCAATGCTGCAGAGATCCGACTTGGGCAGGCACGCAGTCAGATGAAAGCAGGATGCTGCAGCGACTGTGGCGGCTGTTGCACATGTGTGGGGCACGGATCGCGATGGAGAAGAAAAAGGGAGAAATTCGCCAGGGCTGCTAAGTAGGTCACGCACACAGTCTCGCGCGCAGATTGCCGCATCCGCTGCAACTGTGAATGTGTCAGTGTGTGAGTGCAATTGCAAATGCACGCGAGGAGGAAAAAAGGGCAAGCATTTCACCACAGAGCCCCCATTAAATATTGTGTTTTCTTTTCCCATTTATCTGCGTGATGTGAGCTTGTTGTTCCCTTGGCTTGGCTTTTGCCTTAGCTCAGCTTTCGCGTGGAGAGCTAATCTAGCGAGATTGGCACCCACAGGGCGCAGAATGCAGGGTATGGTTTCGAGGGGCGCTACGAAAGTTGGTTGGTCACAGATTGGCAGGCATAGGGCGCACTCACCTTGAGCAGCTCGCGGAAGTAGGGACTGCAGGCGGAGAGGACGACGCGGTGGGCCTTGATGCTGCGTCCCTCGCAGGCGAGGGTCACATCCACGAAGGCCTCGTCGTCCCGCAGATTCTCGAACGCCGAGGTTATGCTGCTCTGGTAGTTGTTCCAGCGGAGGCAGAAGTGCTGTGTGTCGTCCATCTCGATGGGTGTCTGGTTGCGGTTCGGGCTGTGGATCTGGATCTGGTTGCTCCTGGGCTGTGGGCACTCCTGCTGCTCTGGGTCACCGGTTGTGGGCGTTGCTATTGGTGTTGGTGTGGATATTCTTATGTTTGCTGTTGTGCTGGTGCTTGTGGTTGTTGTGTTTGTGGGTGGCTGCCGAGCGTTGTGGTCGTTGTTGTGGTTGTTGTTGTTGTTGTGATCGTCGTCAACCGACACAACGCTGGCCTTCTTCGAGGTCACCTTCTTTCGTATTTTGACGGCTTTCTGGCGGCCTGGCCCACCGAAACTAAGGATGCGATGCGATGCGATTCGATACGCTGCTCCTTCTGGCTGCAGATGGGCGGTGTTGCGCCTGCTGATTACTTGACCGATTGCCGGATTGTGGGGCTGCAGATGGAGTCTTCACTAATGATTATTTAACTGCAAGCGCATGAAAGAAAGCAGAAGAGCAAACAATTAGAATTTGAGTTGAAATTACAAGTGGATCAGACCTACACCCCCCTCCCCCACTAAGGTTCACTGAAATTGCTGCTGCTTTTCACTGACGGATTTGTGCCGCGCTAGCTGAAAGTTGTGCATTTGTTTCTGCTTTGCAATGGTTTTTTGCTCGCTTTTGCGTTTTTTGCCTGTTCTGCTACTGTTTCGCTTGCAACTATGCGAAATGTTTAAAAATTGTTAACAAATGCAGTTTAAAATGTCAACCACGGCGACGACGCAGCAGCAAAAACCCATTTCTATGTCACACGGCGAATCAAAATTAAATAAACTATCAAGACGACAATTAGCACTCGCGGTGGCAGAAGCACAAGCAGAAGCAGAAGAAGCAGCACCGCACCACAAGCAAAAACTTATAACGAGTGCACAACCACCGAAAAAGAACAAAAAATGGGCGAAAAAAAACACGGGCCATAAAAAACGGAGTGAAAAAGCCAACGCATCGCAAATGGGAGGAGTGCAAAAAGCGAACTATAACAAATGCGAATATACCAAGAACACTTGTACGGTGCGGTTGGCAGGGGGGCGGGGAGAGGGGAGAGGGGCGAGGGGTCGCTCTGCTCCCATCTGGACATCTTGCAGAAAAGAAATCCCAAAAGAATAAATAATTTGAATACAGAAAACTTTCGGGGCAGTTCGCCTCTCCCTCTCCCTACCCTCTCTCACTCTCGCTGCCTCTTTCTCTCTACCTCCCTCCCTCCCTCTCTGTCGCTCTCCTGCTTCCGTCCCGCTCTCGCCGGGTGGTTTGCAAAATGCGAAATGCGAATTGAGAATTGCGAATTGCGAATCGCGCGATAAGCAAGGCAGCGACCGCAGCGGCAGGGGCAGCAGAGCTTTCGCTCGACATTGAAAGTGAAAACTATTAGATAAGTCCGCCGGGTGTGCAGTGCACTTTTTATACGCCAGCCCAGCGCTGATACGTATGAGTGATGTGTCCGCACTAAAATAGCACTCCTCGCCACGATCGTCATCCTATTACTGTCCATTAGGCGATAGCCCTCCCATTCGGACTCCCATTCGGATTCCCATTCCCACTGATACTCCAATTGCACGGGGCTCACCTTTCTCCAGCTGGCCATCTGATTGGAACCCGATGCCCGGCTCTGATTAGCCCCGCTTCTTATTGGAGCTGGTGGGGCATTTGCAGCGCTTTTTGTTTCGCTCTCGCTCTCCTTTCGAATCGCAATCTTTATATTACTGGATCTGCGAATTTCGGGTGAACTATTGTGCTGGCGTATACGCAATTTTTCGTATACGCAATATTTGTTTTTTCACTCAACAAAATAGGAAAAAATAGCGAAACTCGCACACACGGCACACACACACACACACACGGACACGCGGCGAGGATGAACCGTTAGCCGAAAGCTGTACCACTTGCAAGCTAAAGAGCTGGAAAGCTGGAGTGCTGGATAGCTGGAGTGCTGGACTAGTGGAGAGCTAGATGTTCTGGAGGAGAACCGAACCTCAGAACTCAGAACCGAACTAATTCGAAATGTGAGCGATTTGGGGGAGCGACCGACCGAACGAACCGAACCGATGACTAAACTAAACTATTTTGAATGGGCGATATCATGGCCTGAGCCAAGCTCGGTGATCCCGAGCGGGAGGGAGGGGGCTGCGAGCCAGGATCATCCGCGGCCGGATGTGCGGATATCTGCGGATGTCTCGGCTATCCTAAAGATCGATAGGATATGGCGGATAAGGCGGATGTGTCCGTTCTCCGTTCTCCGATTTCCGATTTTCGTTCTCCGTGTGTTTTGTGTTTGTTGCGTTTGATGATTGCAAGCGTAGAAACTCAACTGAATTCGCGCTAAAGAAGAAGAGAGTGCCGTGCCAGTCTCAGTCGCTGCTTCAGCCTCAGTCGCCGCCGCTGCCGACGTCGACCGAAACAAAAAGCGCATTAGGCAGCCGAAAAAAGTCAGCACACACCAACACACACATGCGAAACTATTCCCCAAAATTTTGGCAATCCACAGTTGTGTGCGTGCCACCCGTCTGCATGCGGGTGAGAGAGGGACGGCGCTAGAGAGAGAGCGATCGCGCGCACGCTCCGTTGTCCACAGGATTGGACAAGGACAGCAATAGGGCCAGGCTTGTCTGCAGGACGGTGCGAAAGAGAGCGAGGCTGAGCGACAGAGAAGGAGATCCCAACTCGAGGCGTATTAGAATGTAGAATTCCCAGACGCAGCGCGCACACAGACACACACACACGGGCGCGCATAGCGAAAAAGCATTTTTTGCACAAAAAGTCCAGCGTCGAATTTTTTATATTCTCGATCTCTGTTCTGCTGCGCTCTCTCCGTCTCTTTCGCTCGCTCGCGCTTATACTAGAGTGGGATTTTTGTGCATAGAACAAAACAAACGCGTCGCAGTCGCTGCGCTGCTGCCGGCTGACTAATAACTAACTAGAAATGGTGAAGAAAGAGTGGAAGAGAGTCCCCCTCGCCCCCTCGCCCCCTCGTCCCCTATCCACCCCCACCATCCACACTCACACACAAACTGAAGCAGCTCCTTAAGGGCACAGAAAAGGGGGGAAACCCCAGCAATAGATCATAATTTCAGTGGATCTTTCAGCTACCAAAAAGAAGAAATAAGAAATAGCCCATGCATACAATATTTTCTCCCGTTTTCGTTTTTTATTTATGGCAGAGATCGTTCGCTGTGTGAGTGAGGCCGTAGTGCTTACGAACTTTCAAGGCTAAATACTACATTTTCAAATTTTGTTTGCCGCATTTCGCTAGCCAGCTCTCTTGCTCTCGCTCGCACTCGCACACACACGCAGCCTTCAAAATAGTTCTAGAAAAAGTCGAATTCGTTGCAGTCGTTTTTTCGGCTCGCCCCAAAAGTGAGAGTGTGTGTGTTTGAATAAAAGCAATTATTTGGCTGACTGCGCTGTAGCTTATAAAAAGCCAAAAGAGCAGCGGCGAACGCGATTAGATAGAGCAGCCAGTATAGTAGTTTGTTCAGTTGGAAACTAAATTGTATAATGCGCGTGGCGAAAATAGAAGTCTCTAGGTGTATGAGTGTGTGCGTGTGTAGTGTGTAGGTGTAGGTGGCCCGATCGGATCAGATTGGAGTGCCATATCTGCTGCACCACCCTCGCAAACTTGTTTGCCGCCCCTCGTGCCCCCCACCCCACCACCTCGTTCTTTTGCCTTGCCTTGCCTTGCTTTCTCTTTCTATTGTGTTTGTCCGAAACGTTGCCTTGTTTCTCCTCTTTGTTCTCCATTCGCTGTCTCCAAGTCTGCCATTGTGTTCGGTTCTATTTTCAAGGTTGGCAGCGTTAGTTATGCACATGCCCATGCATACATGCATACATTTGGCACACACGCACACAGCATTTCCATAACCCCCTTTCCCACTCCCCACTCTCCCCCTCCAGTGCGAGCGGAAGGACGCGTGTCAAGTTGGTCTACGACAGCTTACAGAGCACTCAACAAGGTCAGTCCACATCCACTCTCCACCTCGGCCACGTTCTCCCTTCCACTTGTTGCCGGCTAGACGCCGTGGCGCCCACATCACATTTCCACATGGCGCGAATCGCACACTCTGAAAATGCCCCCTCGCAACTTTCCCCCCCTTCCAAGCACCGAGTGCCGGCCAAATGTAAAATCTAACGGCCAACACTCACACACACACACACACTCACCGAGAGTGGTGAAAGCGAAAGTTCTGTGCAAAAACTAGCACTAGCGGAGAGAGAAAGAGAGTGGGCGGTGGCGAGGGAAGCATTACAACCAGTGCAAAATGCAGAGTGCAGAGTGCAACTGTGTGCGCGTGTGGGTGTGTATGTGTGTGTCTGTGTGCGGCTAGACAAATGCTAGACGCCAAAGGCTAGAGGGACCCACCACCACCCACCTAACCCACCAACCCACCTACCACCCACGTAGCGGGGCATTTCCATTTGCATTTCTATTTGCACTGCCGCACACAGACATGGGTGCCTATTCCAGTGGCCCTGTGGGGCATCTGATTAACGGGTGTTAATTCGGCTATTACGCTAATTGTAAGCAATTGTAAGGGGGGAAGAGGAGGGGCACATGGAACGAGCAGCACCCACTGGAGGTGCTAGAGCGAAATAGCACGCGCAGAGGGAAGGAGAGATAGCTATTCAAAACAAAACCAAAGCCCAATTCTTCAACTCGTAAACTGAGTCCAAGTTCAAGGTCTCGCGTCCAATTCAATCGCCACTGCCGGCGTCGCTGCCTAGCTAGTTGCGCCTAATGTGGAGAGTGAGCGGCAGACAGAGAGCGAGCGAGAGAGCGTTAGAAAGCTCGCCGTTTCTGCGATGGTGTTGGAGCGTGAGCGTGAGCACGAGCGTGTGGACAAACACTCTCAAACAGTTCTCTCTCCCCCCTTCCCGGCCGCCCGCTTATCCTTCCAAAAGGAGGAGGATCGCACCAGACAGCGAAGAAGCAGAGCCAGTACCCCGCACCCTTCTTTCCTGTCTGGAACTATTTCGTTGTTTAAAAAAAAGAAGAGCCTCACCACTTTTGTCTCGCTTCGGACTCTTCTTCTTACCCCCGCCTTCGGCTTTGCTGCCTGCTTTTCCTTTGTTTTGTTTTGTTTTGGCACTGCTAGCCACCATCCCCATACCCATCCCCCTGTGCTGCGCGGCGAACATTCCCGCTGACAAAGTTGATTTCTATTGTTAGTGCGCTGCGACTGCGCCGTCAGCTTCATCGCTCTTCGTCGTTCTTCGCTCTCTTTTGCTTAGTTGTTTTGCATTTTTGCTAATTTGACCTTCACCTTAACCTAGTCATCGTGTGTCGGACATTCGGTCGTTTACCCCGCGCGAATTCGCAATTTGCCAGCCAAAGTCGAAAAGCTTCAAATAAATTCGAAATAGCAAGAGAGTGGGAGAGTAGCAGAGCGGGAGAGCACCAAGCACATGAGTGTGGGCTGAGTGTGCTGGCTAAGTG